AGAGCCGACAAAACATTCTGATATGCGATTGTCGACAAGCTCGAATAACATAAGAAGATCAAAAAATACTTCCGGATTGAACTAGGTTTGAGCACCAGGAGATTCCACCGAGTGTCGCTAGAATGACAGCCAGAAGACGGTTCGCGATGGGGCGGAGTGGCCCTTCAGTTCTTGATCGGAACCGGTAATATGCCCTTGGTGTTCTACTCCAGGGGCCCCTTGCCCGGAAGGAAATAAGGGGTCCCATTATTGTTGAGTAGAGTGGAGGTCTCATTAATGTTGAATAGAGTAGGTCGAAATGAATGTTTCAAGAAACAAACCAGGTCATCCCATGCTTGCCGAAGAACGTTCACTTTTTCAGAATGAATTTGTGAAAAAAGTGCATCAAAAGTTTTGATCATGCCCGCCCGAAACCTCGAGAGCAAGGACAGCGATGGTCTGGGTTGCAGCTTCCGTAAAACCAAACGGCGCAGGCCACTGCAAGTGCCACCAGACGGCGGGCGCTGCGTTAATCTATCTTCTGGACAGATTAATAGTTACAGAAACACGAAAAATAGAGAATCTATCTTTACTCTTACAGTTCCACCACCAGATTCCAGCATCACTTCGCGGTGCTTTAAGGGCCAACCGTTCTTATCATCAGTCTAAAAATCACACACGTCAAATATGTGCCCAGACTGCCTTGTAGATGTAAGATATGATGTCCTGGAACGTTCAAAGAAACTTCTTTCAGAAACGTCATCATTTTCGTCCACCCACTGGCCAAGGCTCAGCATTAGCTGTTGAGCCGACGCTGCGCGGCCTACGGAGACTGTAACGCCTGGCATGGAGGTTTTTTACGTAAGATTTGCGAGTACGCATGTTCAAAATTATATATTATAACTTTTATTGCTAACTGATTCAAGTGTTTAAACGTGATTAGTTCCAAACCGTTATCATTTTCGTCGACCGGTGGACCATGACGAAAAATTCACCGCTGAGCTAGCGCTCCAAGGACTATGGAGACTGCAGCGCTTAGGTCGATGTTTTGGTTGCTAAGATTTGCGAGCGCGCATGTTAGAAACCACGTTATATAAATTGTATCACTAATCGATTCTGACTGAATGTTAAAAATTTCCGGACAAACATGGCTTGGTGATGTTAATACACATTGTTGACCACTCGATCTACAATCAAAATCTTCACCCTCAAACTTCGATCAAACATATCGATCTACAATCTACCTTCGCGATGTCTTCAATGTCTGTAGAACGCGGATGAACCATCGTAAAAAGCTTCCAAATTCTATCGGTTTAGAAAGAGTTCACTAAGCCATTGAAAATTAGGGACACCGGTGATTTATTGCAAGCGGTCGTTAAACGTCCGATTTCTGCAGTTTACTGACCATAACGCGTGCTCCGGTGGGAGTCAAATCGACTCTCCCCCAGTTTTTTCCAGAATAGTTTCGGAACGGCGTGGCGCAGCCACGCCATATTTGGCATAGCTGTAAAAAATTGAATAGCGGATCGCTTGGCATCAAAAATTTAGATGTACTTTGTAAGGTCGTTGACCTACGGCAGATCAAAGTCAGGCCATCGTTTCAGCGAAGTCAACTTCCAGGGAATCTTTCAATCTGATGCAGCTATCGAGTGTAGGACAAAGCTATACACCTCTGAGATGTTTTTTAGGCAACAAAAACATTGAATGAGGAAGTTACGTTGAGCTAAGGTCAGGTATAAAAGTCAGACCAAGGCCAGAACGAGTCTGTTTTATTACTCTACGGCTAGCTGTATGGGATAGTTTCTGGCGCTCATTTCAAATTTATTGATGGCTGGAACTGCATTACACATCTTCTATGGACCCCTGAGAGGTCACAATAGGTAACTGACCTAAACTGACCTAAGTCCACATTTGGCTTAGAAACATACTGCCTAGCGCAATCTTTCTCGCTTATTGAAATGCAAAACTCAGATCAGTCTTGCATGACTCTGGTCCCATGGCCTTCAATAGATCAAAAAAGGCCACTAACCTTAACTGAGCATGTGAGCTTTTGCTTAGAAACAGTTATTTAGGTTGTGGGCCTCTTAAAATACCAACCTGAAATTTGACCTTGTTTGGCCTTATTTGACCCAAAAGTCATGACCTACGAAACTCAAACTTTGACATAGGTGAGCTCACGCACAGGTCAACACACCCTGTGAATTTGGTATCTTTAGCTCTCTTAGTTCCCGAGATATCAGGCGGGTCAAAGTAACCCTCATCCGAGCGAAGGGTATCTGGCCGGCCACCCGGGCGCGTGTAAAAAATGTAAACAGAATTGATTTGACGGAAGCCTCTGGTTTCTGCTCTGGTTACAGCGTAAAAATTGCAATGAAACGAAAAAACCGCATCCCTTGTTAACAAGTAAACTATATCCGGGGATATGCTTGTGGGGGGATCAACCATAAAGGGGGCTTCTGTCAACCCCGTGTTCCTCTTAGCAAGGCTCTGGCTACCCCTGCCTACACACAAAAGAAGATCAAGTCATCTACGTTGAATGAAATGGTCATCTACAAATGAAAAGGCGAAAAGTCAAAATAAGAAAAAATGAATGTCATCTACAAATAAAATGTCCGTGGGGCCAATTCATACCTAAAGTAGGCAGCTTCCCGGTGACATTTTCCTGGGGTGATGTGGTATAAGGGAAGATAATTCGGGAAAAGTTACTGCTGTAGGTGTACAGCACATGTTTTATATTCCAATTAGTAACAATGCTGATCCAGAAATGTGCAACAAGGCAGCCATACCATCAGTTCGCGGTCAGTCGTTCGGAGACAGCCGGGTTAGGACAGTGGCCACCGACGGCAGACGGAAGCAGGGCTCAGACAAGGAATATATGGCAGAGTAGCTTTCATTCTGTGGCTTGGTTTTCAGAGGAGGATCTCCAGTTTGATGGCTTTTGTCACATGGTTTTTGGAAGTTTCAAGCTTCAGAATTTGTCTCCGCCTAAAATGTCGCGACAAGTCCTATCTCTTGAAAAGCAGCCAGCGAAAGGAAGACGCACGCAAAATATGTTGTACTGTGAACCCATCGGCTCACTTTTAAAATTATCACCGCCCTATGCTCAGGGCGATATTTTGGCATCTACCTTGTGGAGACAGATGCCTCCTCAATGACCTAAAATGCGTGCCCGCTCGTGGAATTTCAGCTCCCCAGGGAACACAACGTTGAAATGGACGAATAATCTTGGGAAGCTGGATAGCCTATTTCCCGAATGACATAGATGAGTCGGATATGCAAGAGTGTGCACCAGTGAGAAACAGCTCTAGATGCATATTTAGAATAGCAGCCATTATATTTGAATAAAGAGCGATAACCTTCCTTTCTACCCTCCCCCGGTCATGGGGCTTGTTTTCCAGAAAAAAATTCTGAAGTACACCCTGAGCTTGGTCCCCACTTTTTGAAGTGTTTTTACGCCTGTGCAATGTATCCCCAAAATATGGATGCCTCCCAGATTAGCACACCTCTTCACAAACTTCGGGGGAGAGTTGGAACCCTGAACTGGATAAAAAGTAGGAACACCTCTGATTTGAGGATCTATGCGACTGGTAACCATTCTTAATCAGGACAAGAACAAAAATGGCAAAACTCGGCATTTCAGGACTGTCATCTCCTCCTTTTATTCTCGTTCATGAAGAGTGTCATCAGACTTCAACCTTAAAACCCACGATTCTTTGCATAGGGAAGAAGACTGGTCGCATGTGACTGCTTCAGTGAGTCAACAGCCTTTTCGGTGTCTTGAGAAGGCGGTTTGGATAATCACAGGTAAATTTCTACCTTGATCGGACCATCCCACCGACTTACCCTGAGCTGTCGATGCCTCTCGTCACTGAGGACAGGATGCTGAATCGCGGCACCGCCAACGAAGTAAGCAAGGTCAAAAATTAAACCCTAGGCACGCATTCATGACACTGCAATGCGAATGTCACTTGCAAAGTTGCAGTGCATTGAAAGTCGCCGCCCATCTGATATCAGTCACATCACATGACCGATATGTTTATGTTGTATGTTTGTTTATGTTATGTATGTTTAGACAACAAGATATGCGAATATGTAGCTATCATCCCGCGAATTCAACGGAACGTTACACTATGGTTTTGATTTGTCCCCCTAAGGAGCTTACCACATTGGCACATTTCGGGGCGCACACTGCTTTCAGGAACGAATGTCACACGGCCCATAGTGGCGCAACTGGTTCAAACTTCAACCAATGCGCTTCTCGGCAACAGACCCTTGCCGCCGTCGGGCCAATCACAAACGTTCGTTTATTAGCACCCATAGAGGCACCACAGCGGTTGTTATCACGACGGCAGGCTCGACAGCTGCAGAGATGAGGCGTTGTGTTGTTTCAAAGCGTTGATAGCGTAATTTGGACTAAAAAATGATTAAACTTGATATCCTTGTGATGTTTTGACCGCGCTGCAATGGCACTACACAGCGTTTTTATTAGACGAGGCTTGAGGCTGAGGCTCTTGAGGCTTCACTAAAGCATGTTTTTGAAATATGCCCCACAGGTGGAACACTCCCTGTAGCGAGATTTTTGGATGTTCCACTGAACATACAAGTGCATGAATAGAATGTGCGGCCAGGCGTTGATCGCCTTCTTTTCTCAGTACACTGTCGGGGAGGTTCGTGCAGGGATAAAGCAATGCATTGTTAGCAAGACGAACCCAACCCCAGCCCCGTTAAAGTGTTCTTTGTTCGAGTTGTCACTAATCTCATGGCATTGGCCAGTGATCAAAGAAACTCTAAGCATGCGTTTCGATATAACCAGTGATGATTAACGCCAACAGCTGCGACATTATATTAACAGCCGTGCTGTCTTACGTTAACATGCCTGCAGACTGGGAGATGTCTGCTTTTTGCCCGCGACATCTTGAATGCAAGATGCCATTGGATCCTTCGCAGTAATCTTAATCCAAGTAAAAGTGCACGAGGCCACGTGGAAACAGGCCTTGTAAGATGACGTCGATCTCCGCCAGACCAGTCCGAGACCGTATAAAAGGAGCACGCCTGCCAACGAGACCGTCAGTGGTCGCTGAAGCAATCCAAGGATCAAACATGAAGCTGGTGAGTACCCCCAGTGTGCGCCAATGAGCTCACTGAAAACGTCATGCGCTTTTCAAGAAAATTGACTTCACAAATTGTATGACAGGTGGCTCATTTAAACTGCCACGGTATCTTATGCGAAGGGCAAGGCAGCGGTCAGTTACATTCGTGCAACGTATGCGTATTGCTCTTAGGAACGCGCAGCATTCAGAGTACATCCCAGATAGTTGTTCCCTCCCGGTTTGTTTGGTAACTTGAGACACTCATGGACATTTTACATGCCGCGGATGCTGCAGAACAGGCATTTTGTCTAGGATGAAAAGTGCGCCGAGCATAAGTTTTCTAAAATGGGCACGTATTTTTACTTCGAGCACTATGAGGCTGAGCACTTAGCAGATGAACGCGAGCGCTTTTTCTCGATACCGCTGTCAAAAACGTTCTTTTATCGATGCGATTTGTCTGAGCTTTCTCCTTCTGCGGAAAAAAGCACGTGCCTCAGTAGACTGCGCTATAACCTATGTAATGAAATACGTGGCAGACAAAATATTGTTATCCCTAACTTACCATAAGCATTTTGAGTCGGCCATTAGTATATGAAGGGCTTGGCGAATGCCATAAATTTGATCTTGTCAGCATGGTGAGAGTCTAACCGCACCTGACCACGACGTTTAGATTATGTAACCTTTTAGATTATATAGCGTTTAGATTATATGACGTTTAGATTATATAGCCTTCAACACAACTAATGATGCCACAACCGCCAGCCTTTTCACTTAAGGCCACGGCCAAACAGGATTAGAAGACTTGGATGGAAAACTTGTAAACATTGACACTTCACGGTCTGGAGGTTTTTTCCGTGGGCAGTTGTTTTAATGATCTGTTTATTCCCACATATTTGAACGATGTGCACCTTTCAGTATAATGTGCGGGGATCAAGTTTACCGAGAACTCATTGCAGGCTGTTTGGGATGGCCTCCAAGCTTGTCACTTTTCATTTGACCATGGTAATTGCTGTTCCAGCTGGTTATCGCCGCTCTGCTGGCCGTGGCCGTCGCGAGGCCGCAGGAGGCGGAATATGATCCGACAGCCGAGCTCCGTGAGGCCGGCATCATCCGCATGGAGATGAGCCAGAACGAGGACGGCTCCTTCCAGTACGGCTACGAGACCACCGACCCCGCCTCCCAGGATGTCTCCGGTCAGAACAAGATCATTAATTCGGAGCCCGGCGTCGTCATGCAGGGCACCTACTCGTTCGTCGCCAAGGACGAGAACGGTAATGACGTGTCGGTCACGGTCAACTGGACGGCCGACGAGAACGGCTTCCAGGCGCAGGGAGATTCCATCCCAGTGGCCCCCGAGGATCCTAACGCTGCAGCCCAGGCCGCGGCGTACGCTGCCGCCGGCGGGCAGCAAGAGTAAACGGACTTGGATGTTCCACGCTATCCCAGTGATTACTTCAGTGATGACACTTGGGTGACTGACTACGCCAGCCACCACCGGCCTTCGAGATATTCCCCGCCACGTGTTTTAGAGTAGCTCCTCGAGTGCTGCTTAACGGTGCAAGGCGTGGTCGGAAGGATTGGCATCGATGTTCTGTGAATATACGTGCGCTTCATAGGCTTTCAGTATTTGGAACTGCCCGTTCAACGTGCGTGGCTCAATAACTTCAATTACAGGTTAGATTCAACTAGCCAAACAGATGTGAAGTAAGTTAGCTAGATGTGTTGTTACCAGTCTTACGTAGTACAGGTCACTACGCTGACCTCAGCCGCGGTCGACGTCGTGGCAGGCATATCCTCCCTTCGCCGGCCCATAACTCATCGTAGGAGAGTTCTGTTCACAAGGGCGTTGACCTCTGGGTTTGCCGTCGACAGTGTCAACAAGCAGGGTTCGTACTTATGATGTCTGTGGGTACATGGCAGCTTCATCCCTTTTGAGACTACTCATTTCGATAGCAGTTGAGTTGGGCGGTTAAAAGCCAGATGCATAACCAACCGATCTCGTCCAGCATGGTGAGTAGCTCATGTGGCACCGCCATGCGGCGTATGCTAGTGTCATGTCGAGGGCGTCGTCCATAGCTAGTATTATGTCCAGGGCGTAAGTTGCGCGCTCGCGGCCATGGGCTGGCATCGTTCTGTCCTTAGCGCTAGCGAGGGTACGAAATCAACAGAAATTATCTGCGGCGCGACGAAGGGTTTCCCACCCTGACCAGCCCGTTGATTTAGCTGGACGAATGCGACGCGATGCATCAAACGTCGATAAAACATTGCTCAACGTCGACTGCCATTCATGTTGTGCAGTGATGTGATCATTCTAGTGTCAGCCACAGTTGCACGTGATGCTGGAGACGTAACAAAGCTGTGTCAGGTCAGCCCCGTCGTAAATTTTGTTGGCCGCTCCCGTCGAGAGTCTTGACCGCGCTCCGGTCTACGTGCGATATCGGCCTTTAATAGTACTGCAATCTGTGGCAGCCAACGCTCACACCATCTGACCGGTGAGACACGATGTCATGTTGCGTCAGTGACGGGCAGCGCCATCTTTACCGAGCACGACGGCCGGGCCCAAACCACTGCCCTCAAGTACCGGACATGAGGACCGACCTTGAGTTCTCCTGTGATTACCAATCATGCCGTGGAATCAGTCATATGTGACCGCCGGAACACCATTTCCGCCAGTTGTGACGACTACAGCGCCACTGCTGCCAACAAGCAGTGAATCAATAGCGAATGTGGTGGAAAATATCGGCATGGATCTTCAATACCCAAATATATGCTGATCGTTTCCCAAATGCCAGAATAATGCCGGTTAATATTAAGTCCCCCGCTACAACAAACAGAATAACGATGGTAAAATGTAAAGGCATTTATGGTAATAACAGTTCTAATGTGGTGTCTGGTGGCACTCTACGTCCCTGAGGAAAAGGGGGCAGGCGGCCAAGGCCCTTCAAGCCGGTTAGGTCCAGAAGTGAAGTCCCTACCATGGCTGCTTAACGAAACGAGCCGCCTGAGCCCAGGCTTCTGTGATTGGCTTGATAATGTTGTTTTGATGATCAGTAATTTGCGACAGCTGTTCCAAACACATATCTGTCCCGCAACTGAAATTGCGTCCAACCGTGACTCAAATTTGCAAGAAATTACTTCACACGATATAACGGGTGATGGCCTGAAATCTGGACACAATTCATTTCAGTTCAGCTTCTTGCAGGAAAAGCAAACGACGAAATAAGAGCACTATCTGAGGCTGAAACAATGCATCGCCTTGCGTTCCCAGTGAACAGCAGACAGATTACAACGCAGACCAACGTGGCGATCGCGTCGGAGGAGGTGCCGCATCATTTTGCGCTGCCCCTCGGTACCCATAGATTTTATAACTTGGCAAACTATACGTCATATGCGTTTGATCCAATGCTACCATCTAACCTGTGCTGCATTTTTTATTGGCTTTATATCCCGCTATCACTTATGTCATATCATGATGATTCTTTGAGCACTTGCGGTGCTTGATTCATAATGACACGTCACAAAGGATTGGAACACACGAGCCATGATTTCGGTGTCGGATTAACATAAGATCGTCAGGTCTGCTGCAACTTTAATCGTGACGCTAGCCCGAAGCAAGACAAAGAATTGCTCGCATCGCAAGCCTAAACGCAATGTATCGCTTCGGCCCAGCCTTCAGGTTTGAAGAGCAGTGTTGGCGAAATTCAACCCTTGAAATGACGGGAGGGACTAATTCTGTAATTATCTTTATTGGTGTAATTTATTCTTGTGGCACATGCCAACGCATACGATGATGACATTTAAAAGTGTAACTGGATTCTATCCGAGGCAGCTGCGAGGTGCTTCCACAGGAAACCACCTGTTGCCCATTCGACATTGTGTGTACATATCTAGGTTATATGTATATATATATATATATATATATATATATATATGCATTAGTATACACGCACATAGATATATGTATATCTATCTATCCATCTATCTATCTATCTGCATATAAATATATGCACGCGGGTGGGCGTGCGTGCGTGTGTGCGTGGGTGCGTGTGTGTGTGTGCGCATGTGTGTGAACACTGTTCGTTCATAATAGCTTCGTTGTTTCTTAATTTTCGAGACATTTGTCAACTAGACGGTTTTAAGGACACGTCAGCTGCAGTGCTGTCGATCTTATTAAACGTCATAAGACGCATTAGACGTATATTAGACGTATATACGTATTAACGCTTGCTTTGTGGGTTGTGCTTGTTCAGAACGGAAGCAAAACTAGTGCAGGAAGAGTCAAAGCGATCCACACTCCTGTCTCATTTCTTATATTTCGTCGATGTTCGTCAATCCTCCGACAGTCTCAAGCCATGTGACTTAAGATAACATTTATCATACAAAATGCACAGAAATACGGCAGGTAAAACCTACCCAGGCTTGTGACCAGCCCGCGCCCGGCCGGGGCGAAATTGACTCCTCCCCCCCCCCACACTACAGTTTTAGGGGCACAGGTCAAAAATGAACGCTCATTACTTCACAATATTTTCAGTACTGTTCGTCCATCAGTTTGGCATCCTTTGCGGAAATTTGGAGCTCTGATCAACCAAGATCAGTGATCTTGGTCTGGTGAAATATGTCAGCCTCTTAAACAAATTGACCACACGAAACTGTTTGTGAGCCATTTGGCGTTGTCCAAATTTGGTATAACATTAGAGCATGATAGTACCTACGGTTTGTTTATTTCGGATTTTTCAGAAAATGTGAGGCCATTGACATGTAGTCAGGTCATTGGTTTCTATTTTTCCTTAATAATGCAGGTTTGTACGTACTTTTTTGTGGTTTTGGTGTTGGATATGAGGAAAAGAGTATTTATTTACACGCGCAACCATCATGTGAACATGGAGCAGATGACATTGGTTCAGGTCATGACCTATCTCTATAGGTACCTTATAGAAACACATGCTAAGCTCAAAATAGGTAGTTGTGGGGTGTTTTTGGCCGCAGAATTTGAATATTCCACTGAAAATGTGTCGAGATAATATTATAATGCATTTTGAGGTCACAACAGGTAATGCAATGTCATATGAGATCATCCAAGGCCAATGGCCTACGTTGCTAGTAGCAGTGAGGCTAGATGAACGAGTCCGGCGCGAGTGATCACCTCCTTATCGTGTTCGTAAAGTTGATGACATCTTTTTCCACGTACCAACGTACCTGTTCTCGGTTTGTTACAAAAACATTGCCAAGCGTCAAAGGGACTGTGTATTACGCAGACAACAGTTATGCGATCTTGAGTACCTGTAGATGTCCAGTACGCTTTTTCTGACCACAAAAAGTATTGTACTGGTGACATAGAGCCGGTTAGCACTGAAAATTTTCCAGCTGGATGGTTTACAAATTTAACCTAAGTTGAGCTTAGATGACCTCTAGGTTACCATGAAATGGTACCTTGCGTCTCGTATTTTTTGTCTGTGAAGTTATTCAGAAGCACATTGTGAAGAAAAGTACCGTTCTTGTAGGCTACGGGTGGACCAATTTTGACAGGTTGCCTAGCCTGACCTGACCCATCTGAGAGAACAGAAATAGTCGAAATGAACTCTTAACAGTATTTATGCTTATTTCCGTGCTATTAATAGTCGCCTTGACGTGTTGACATAGATTTCAACCGCATCCATTCGACCTAACACTCTTACCTTTCGTGGCCTTTGATTACCTCACGTTTGGCCAAAGGCCAAGAATTCGGGGTATATTCTTCATGATCTGGAGAGACCTTTAAAACGGCTTCTTTGTTCTTGTCACGAGGCATCTGGAAGTTGAAGATACCAGTGGGGGAAAACAACTCCCCCCCCCCCCCCCCGGCCGGGCGCAGTTGTCCCAGATCCTCTGCCGGGCGAGGATTAATTGATGAAATTACAAATAGTCTGCTCTACGCAACACAATTTTGGACAAAATACAACGCCCAAGCGTATCTTTTCATTTGAATGTTTAGGGAAAGTGCGATACGTCCTAGGTATCCCCAGTAAGGTAATGTAAAGCAAAAATAATGAAAACAGCTTGGAATAGCTAAATCGCTTTCCGGTAAAGCCATTGCTTTCTCAGGTACAATATATTGGCGCATTAAGTCCTATCCGTGGGCCCCTTCGCAGAGGGCCAGCGTTCCCTGCGCGCTGACTTGTCTGTTAATGCATGGGTCATGTCGCATATGCATACAGTCTCAAGCACATATAGCCGTCTCACATTGTGGCATCTGTCTACGATAGTGGTGTTAATATTTGCTGTCTGGTGAGTTGCTGGTCATGGTAGAATTGCGTAGTGTTTTTAGGTCGCCGTTCTGGACGTGAGTGCCGAGTCGCCGGAAGGACATTTGTAGCTATATGCTACATTTTATTGCTTCAGTAGAGATGTATTACAAGTCAGGCAGTGTTGAATAAGTTGAAAACGTGCCGGGGGGTTTTGATGGAAGATTTTTATTCTTAGTTCATCCCCTGTGACCAGCTGATCCTGTGTGCCGGGTGATGTAATAAACGAGATGGAAATGTGGCTCGCTTAGACTCTTTCCGCGATGAGCTTTGCCTCTTGTCTTGATAAGCACAGCCCAGAAAGCAAGCCCTTGATATGTAAAATCGAAAGCACATC